AAAAAATGTCTGCACTTTTTGGCTTGTAATTTTGTCAATCACTTTGAGGATGCTTATCACTTGGCCCGAGATTGGTCTCAAATCACTTGTTATGGTCTTCGATGAAGAGCTTTCTGTCTAAATTCAACAGGGTCAGCAGCCACAGAGAGGCAAGAATACCCACAATAAGAACAAAAATATGAGTTGTTCATATCTGTAACTCATGTGTTGTTCATCAGACTACACATTTCAAACAAGACTAGTTAGAATTTGTTGCTCAAACAATTGAAGAGGATGTAACAGGTAGATGCATGAGCGTGGCTTCAACAAATAGCTTCACGTGTAAGAGTGGCGATTCACTATGCAGATTACCATAAGCATACCTTTTCTTCATCTGTTTGCTTACAAATGTCTTTGGCTTGTAATTTTGTCATGCACATTGATGATGCTCATCACTTGGCCTGAGATTGGTCTCAAACTATTTAGGCACTTTTGAAATAGATTAGTAGTGGCAAATCGGCATGAATAGGAAGATAGAGGCTTTAAGTTTCTTATGGTTTTTTATGTAGTGTCAAATTGTCACCGTGGTTGATGGTTCTACTGTAGATCTGAATGTGGAAAATATGACTATCAAGGGTTGGTTGGTTTGAACATTAGAATGGCAGAATTATGGGAATAGGCTTGATGGAAAACAAAATGGTTTTGATGGAATCGAGTATAATGTGAAGAGTCTCAAGACTCATCAATTGTAGTCAGTGGTGTTGCAAATCGACGATGCCTTGTAGTTTCTTCAAGATTTGATTTAGACGGCTAGTCTCTCAACAATGCAATAGAGTGGACACTTACAGAGTTTGGGTTTTCAATGAGTGGCTTTGAGTGTTTTATGGCAATGTGGCATGATATAGGAAGACAAAGATGCAGATTTCTGTGGTTGGATCAAATTGTGATTGTTGTGCGATTGTTGTGACCTCACTATGTTAGCTAACATTCCGAATTAGCTTCATGATGTATAACTTGCTTCGTGATGTAGGAGACTCTGGAAATTAAGTTATCTGTCATGACAAACCTTAAATTGAGTTATCTAGTTGCATTTCTCTTCACGTCAATCTTCATAAGAAAGTATTAAGTATACTGATAACATTGCTTACTCTAACCCCGTAGCGAGGAAATTGTGCCTTAGTTACTAGATTGATGCCCCCATTGGTGATGACAACTCCCACTAAATCATCTTTGGGCTCTTGTGAAGAACAAGATCAATTGAAGCTAACCTGCAACAAAGCAGAAAGCCAGAGAAGATTCTATTGGGGGGACAGGGTTGAATTTTGCATTGATGACTATAAAAGAAATTACATATTGACATACATCCAAATGAAATATATTATTAATGACATACGCAATATCTACCATACTCCAACTGCAATTTTTGGCAACATCTTAAGCTCATTGTCATATATGGGAAAGACGATAATGTAGGTATCCATATGCTCTTGACTCTGTCTTAAAATTGTTCTTATTTACACTTCACTTTGTGTTGACTAATTGATTTAATTTTTTATCCTAGCATAGGTAAAGAGGAGGATGTAACGATCTCAACATAGTGGTGGAAGACGATAAATTTTTTTTTTTTTTTGAAAAGTGTGAGAGCAAGAAGACTATCAATACCAACAACACAAATTTTTCAATGACGTGCAAATGTTGCTTTCTATTTTGTTATTGTTTTTTTTTGTAGGAGTGAAGTAATTTGGTGTCGTCATATATTGATATGGATTAATGTATGTCAAATTTAATATTGTGATGTTTCATTGATGTGCAAATGTGGTTTCTTTTTATTCTTTCCAGTCCATTGGAGGATAATATCGTTGGGAGAATCTCTTGTGATGGTTTGAAGAAGACAAAATAATCAAAGGCTACTAATATGTTTAATGGTTGAGTAAACCTGGAGAAAAATGCATAAGTCGTTATGCAGATGATGTCCTAACAAGATCATATAAAGGCAAGGAGTACATTGTTTATCAACAGGGAAAAAAGCATTGGGCGTAAAGGAGTTTACAAGCTGGCTGTACCTAGGTAGAAGGTGAACAAGCCTATTACGAGGAGCTTGGTAAAGCTTGGAGGTACCGCGGATAGGTGAACAACAACGTAGAGTTACGATTGCCAATATACTTGGAGGGACTAGAAGATAGAAGCTAGAGTGAAGTTGGTATACTTTACTTGTGACATTCTGAAATCTGACCCACTTGGGATTTATGAAATGAATGGTTTATGGATGTGCTTGTAGTTAAATCTCACCCAGAATTGATCACTTTGGGAATACTAACCATTAAGGAAAGGCTAATTAGGGATTTAAATCCGCGCGACCAAAGAACTTGATCGTGAACCGACTTTCGACCATGAAAATCGTCGAGATGACTTTTTGAGCCACTGCAGGCCGATCCAAGGATAGCCAGGGATCAATTCGCCACTGTCATAGTAGTGGATCGCGGGTGATTCCGCTGGACCACGAAATGAATTGACGAATGACCCTGAACCAATACCAAACGATCGTGCCCATCGGATCTAGCGATCGATCCTCGCAATTAAGTGACAATCGAGGTCGGCACGACCCGAGTAAACTTGTACGTGGCATGATTTAGTATCGACCACGGGTCGGTAACGCGAATTTCCCCAAAAGTCACCTGTTAGTACGAGATATACGCAAGTTATGTTATTTAGAACTCAGTCATTAATTAGAGACCAAGTTGGGCATTGAAAATTCAGAAAGTCAAGGCAGATCACTTGGACGATGTTGTCATTTGCCCGGGTAGCTTCGGATTTATCCAAATCCTTCAGAAAAATTGAATTTTGGCGAGAAATGGAAAATGACCATTTTACCCCTGGAGATTTGTTAAGGCCAATGTAATTTGAGAAGGGCATTTTGGTAATTTCGCCTAGCCTTAGAATTAGAGATTTTTGGACAATTTTGCTCTTGGACTTTTTGAGAAATTCCCAAATTACCCTTGATATTTTGGAAAAGATTCGATCCGGGCCGTCGATCTCAAGATAAGATCGAATCTAAGCCGTCGATTGGATTTGTGAGAGAAGGGTAAGATGGTCTTTTGGACCTCAATTATTGGACTTGGGTTATTTAAACCCAATTTTCCTCTCTCTCCTCATTCTCTCTCCTCTCCCTTCGGCAAACCCCCCTCACCGAACAGACCGCCCCTTCCCCCTTGGTCGCGCCACCACCACACGCCGGCCACCGCTCGGCGTGCCACCGCCGTTCCGCCACCGAGCCGCCACCACTCTCACGCCGCCGTCCCTCTCTCTCTCTCTCCCCCTCTCCCTCTCGGCGACCTCTCTATCTCTTCCCGTGGCCGTGAGTGACCATGGCCAAGGAAGCCGCTCGCCACCGCCGCGTGCCGCCGCTGGCCGCCGATCAGCCGCCCCCTTTCCACTCTAGCCGAGTTAGTCTAGGGTTCGGGTAAGTCACGCCCTAAACTCTATTTAGGACTTCGGGTATCAACGGACAAATTAGGGTTAAATCGGATTGATTAGTGTTGGTTTAGAGGTTAATTGTGACTGTTTCGGGGTTATGTTGGCACTCTAAATTGGGGAATCAATATGGGCTAATTTGAGGATGAAATGACGATGTTACGGGGCTGAATTGATGCTGGATCGCTTGCTGGAAATTGAGACTTGCTTTGGCGATCATATGGTCCAACTTGGAGATAAATTGTGTCGGTTTAGCGTGTTGCGGTATGGCTGGTTGGTAGGGCTTAATATGGCTTGAAATGAGCATGGAAATGTTCAATTTGTGGTTGTCAATGTGGCTGTGATTGTGGGCCCGTTGGTGGCCTTGTATGTTTGTTGTGTTACGAGTGGATTGTATTAAATATGGGCCGTAATGTGCGCGCATGGCTGAATTGATTTAAATGAGTAATCGGCCACAATTGAATGTTGATTAAACTTGAGAAATGTGCGTGGTTTGATGTGTGCACGGGCCGAGTGTGATTGGCCAATAGGTTGGCATGTGAGTGTTGAATGTGTGAACGAGTGAGAAAGCGAGTATGGTGTGGTACGTATGATAATGGAAATCCCTGAGGCGGTACCATTACGCGGGAAAGTGATCCGTCCTCAGGCGGTACGACTACGCGGGACGATGCCCGGTATTACCAGAGGACGGCCAACTTGAGGCGGTACCATTACGCGGGTTATGTCGTAGGTGGTGGGTGGTGAGCCTGAGACGGTACCACTACGCGGGCAAGAAACACGGCCTGAGGCGGTACCATTACATGGGTCCTGAAGTGTTGTTTTGAGTTTGTCGAAGTGAACCTGAGGCGGTACTATTACGCAGGTCACTGGCGAGTTGAGAATGAGTTAGTCGTAGTGGACCTGAGGTGATATTACTACGCGGGTCACTGGCGAGGCAAGTATGAGATGGTCGCAGTGAACCTGAGGCGGTACCATTACGCGGGTCACTGGCGAGTTGTGTGGAAAGAATGTGATGACGCCGGAATGAATGCATGAAATGAAATTTGAACGTGCATGTGACTGGATGTGGTGTTGTTGTGGCTAACGTGGAGGTTGCACGCTGGAAAGGCCCAGGTAAGTGTAAAGGATGTGCCTGCTATGTGATTGTTGAGTGCGGTTGTGTTTGTGATTGTTTGGAGGTACATGATAGCCTAGGTGGGGTTTAGGATGTGTGCTTATTGAGATATAATCTCATGGTTGTTTTAACCAACAATTTCAGAACCCCGGCCTAAGTAATGAATCTCCCGCCGTCGCCGCCTGAGCGTTTTGGAGTACCGATGCACACCGACCATAATGTGGTAGAGTATCCTATAGATGAAAATATGACCTGGGTTAAGCATACGATGGTAGTCTGGATAGACGTAGGGTTACCCCTTTGGCAGGCCCATAACTATACCGCTTGGTTCTTTCGGGACGGGGTAGATGAGTTTGGTCCCGTCCGTGGATTTGACGTCCCCTTTGATGGAGTTAGGGATTGGGACCCGTCTGCCATACCTCCTCCCGACAGCGAGATGACTAGTCTAGAGACTAGTCTGGCACAATCCGGACTTCAACAAGCACCTGCAGCACCTGAGCCCTCGGGGGCCGAGCATGAACCAGAGCCTAAAGAATCCCAGGTGGGGTACGATCCAATGGATGTGGACCTCGAGGCAATTCCAGAGGAAGAACCAGAAGAGAAAGAACCGAAGTCAGATCCTGAAGAGCCTGAGGATGAGCCTGAAGAAGAACCGGAGCACATACCCGAGTATGAGCAATGGATTGACCTCGAGTTTGTGCCAGAGGATGAGTTTGATGAGGAGCCCGTCGAGGAGGAGTGGGACGAAGTTCCAGCGGAATCAGGTGATATAAACAACCCGATTGAGATCGAGGCCGAACCGGAGTACTCAGAGAGCAGTCAGTTCAGGGGGATTCAGATTCAGATGATGAGGAGTTAGACTCGGAGTGGACACCAAGCAGAGGGCGTAGGGGCTAGTGTAGGGGTTGGGAATATGCTTTTTGAAGTGTACCATTTTTGGGCGATAGAGTACCCAGGCTATCGATCATTTTGAATATCAGTGGTTTATAGTTCGGTGTGCATGTATATATGGTGGTTTGTAAATTGTGAATATTATATAAGTTTGAATGAGCAATGGATGTGTTTAATCTCTCCTGATTACCCCAGTTCTATTTGTTTGGGTGATTGTGGTTTCCGCTGGTTTATATAAATCTCTGATAAGGTGAAATGGGGTCGGCGATACCCTGGGATGTCGCATTATTCGACCAGAGTAGTGTGTCGCATGCTTAATGGAGTTTGGGGCGTGACATCACGTGTTGAATTAGTATCAGAGCGAGGACAGCTCGATCTAAGCTGGTCGAAGTCTGGAGTGATAAGGAGCAGAGATCCTGGGGTAGTAATTTAGGGAGACCTTAGCAAGTCATAGGGCGGAATAAGCTACACGTGCCTCCAAATTGTTTGTTGTGATTGATTGGGTGAATTGATTGTTATAACGATTGAAATGTAGGTGCGTCTGGACCTGAGGTAAGTGCACAGACCCTATTGATTATGGCCTTGTGCTTGTGGTGATTGATTACCTGCTGAGTAAATTATTGCGTTAATTCACTGCCTAGGACTAGACTGATCTAGTTGGCCTAGGTTACTAATTCCTAAGTGGAATTATAGCAGGTAGTCGAGTGGTAGAAATCGTGAGAATGAGTTCACGAGGTAGAGGAATTGGGGGTTCGTCCAGCTCGTGAGCCCGAGCCCGACCTGCAGAAGATCCTAGAATGGAAGCGGTCATGAGGACCCTATAGCAAATTATTAATATGATAGGACAGCAGACTCAGGAACGAGCTGCTACGATTGCCCAAGCTGCCGAAGCCGCTGTGGCCGCTGCTACCAATAATAATAATAATGGGAATCAAGGGCAGGGGCAAGTGAATGTGAATAGGCAAATGCACCAATTGGTCAAGCAGTTTATAAAATTAAAGCCTCCTAAGTTTGACGGTATAGGCGATCTTGAGGGTGCATCGTTGTGGGTGGAAGAATTACAAAAAGCTTTTGAAGTCTTGGGATGTACAGATGAGGAGAAAGTAACATTGGCAGTATATCAATTGCAAGGAAATGCAAATGATTGGTGGAAAGCCACCAGAGGAATGATATTCACGGCTGGCATAGCCCAGACTTGCGCGATGTTCGTGGAAGCCTTTAATGGAAAATATTTTTCTGAGAGTGCTCGGGAACAAAAATTATCTGAGTTCATGAGGTTGCGTCAGGGGCAGAAAACAGTGGATCAGTTTGAGGCTGAATTTGCTCGATTGTCTAAGTTCGCCCCGAAGATGGTTGAGGACCCGTTAGATAGGGCTCGGAGGTTCCGTGATGGCTTGAAACCGGACCTTCGCAGCCAAATGATCTCATTGAATCTGAGAGGGTATAACGAGATTTACGATAAGGCCGCCACTTCTCGGTCGAGGTTTGCCCAGGGTAGGGACAACCATCAGTTAAGGAAGAGGCCAATGAAGGGTAATAGACGTTTTGTCTCTCCTGCTAGAAGGAATATAGGGAAGCCGGCCCGTAATCAAAATGGTCCATGTCGGGTATGTGGGAAAGATATGGAAATAGACCTTGTCCAACCAGAGGCGGAGCATATTTTGGATGTGGTGGATTTAGTCATCACATAAGATTTTGCCCCAATCTCAGGCAGAATAGGTCGCCTACATTGCCGCCACCCTAGAACGGGAATCAGACTGGAGCGGCCCAGACAGCTAATCAGAATAAGCCACAGGCGCAAGGACGGGTGTACGCCATGGCCAAAAGAGAGGTAGAGAACGTGCCAGGGGTTGTCACAGGTACGATTTCTCTGTGCATTCATGGTGCGTATGCTTTATTTGACCCTGGGGCGTAACATTCCTTTATATCTGAGCAATTTGTTGAGTTGATTGGTATAGAACTGCAGTTGCTTGATGTTGTGTTATGCGTGACAACTCCCTTGAATGATAAGATGCTAGTTTCATTGGGGTGTCCAAATTGTAAGATTGTGATTAGGGATAGGGAGTAAAGGATAAATTTAGCGGTTCTAGCCATGTACGATTTTGATGTGATAGTGGGTATGGACTGGCTGTCTAAGCAGAGAGCCGTAATGGATTGTAATAGCAGAGTGATCCAATTTAATCCTGTTAGACATCCGGAATTCAAATTTGTAGGAAATCGAGGGGGACCCTCGATTCCATGGATTTCGTCGCTAGAAATGACTACGTTGTTGAAAGAAGGGTGTCAAGGATTTCTAGCGGCTGTAGTTGATTCAACGGCTGAGGAGCCGAGGCTAGAGGACATAGCCGTGGTGTGTGATTATCCCAATGTTTTTCCTCAGGAATTGCCGGGATTGCCACTAGAAAGAGAAGTAGAATTTGTAATCGAGTTGGCACCTGGAACTAAGCCAATCTCGAAGACACCTTATAGAATGTCGTTGTTGGAGTAAAAGGAATTAAAGGTGCAAATGTAAGAATTGTTAGACAATGGATTTATTCGTCCGAGTTCGTCTCCGTAGGAATCGCCAGTTTTATTTGTGAGAAGGAAAGATGGATCGTTGAGGCTATGTATCGATTATAGGCAGCCAAATCAGGTGACGATAAAAAATAAATATCCCCTACCGAGGATTAATGATTTGTTTGATCAGTTACAAGGAGCTTCGGTGTTCTCTAAAATTGATTTGAGAACGGGATATCATCAGTTGAGGATTAGGAAGGAGGATATACCGAAGACGACATTTAGGACGAGATATGGACATTCTGAATTTACAGTAATGCCGTTCGGATTGACGAACGCCCCTGCTGCCTTTATGGACCTAATGAATAGAGTGTTTAAGGAATACTTAGATCAATTCGTGATCGTTTTTATAGACGACATATTGGTGTACTCGAAGAGCCTAGAGAAGCATGAGTTTCACTTGAGTAAGGTGTTGCAGACTTTAAGAGAGAACGCACTGTATGCTAAGTTTAGCAAGTGCGAATTCTGGCTCAATCGAGTAGCATTTCTCGGACATGTGATTTCTGGGGAAGGAATCTCAGTGGATCCATTGAAGATTGAGGCAGTAATGAAATGGCCCAGACCGATGATGGTAATAGAAGTTCAGAGCTTTCTAGGTCTGGCAAGATATTACCGACGCTTCGTGGAAGGGTTTTCGGCAATAGCAACACCGTTGACACATTTGTTGAAAAAGGAAACGAGATTTGAATGGACCGACAATTGTGAAAGGAGTTTTCAGGAATTGAAGCATAGATTGACAACGGCACCGGTATTGACTATTCCATCGGGACCCGGAGGATACGAAATTTATAGTGATGCGTCGTTGAAAGGATTAAGGTGTGTACTCATGCAAAATGGGCAAGTAGTGGCCTACGCATCAAGGCAGTTAAGACCGCATGAGTTGAATTACCCGACGCACGATTTGGAATTACCCGCAATAGTATTCGCCCTGAAGATTTGGCGACATTATCTATGCGGAGAGAAATTTCAGATTTATACCGACCATCAGAGTCTCAAATATTTATTTTCTCAAAAGGAACTTAATATGAGGCAGCGTCGGTGGATGGAGTTGTTGAAGGACTACGACTGTGATATATTATATCATCCCGGGAAGGCCAACCGGGTAGCCGATGCATTGAGTCGAAAGTCAAGCATCGCTTACTTGATGATTAAGGAATGGGCATTGTTGAAAAAAGTACGAGACTCGGAGTTTAGATTCGAAGTAAGTCAAGTCTCGAGCTTACTAGCCACGCTAAGGATTGAACCGGAGATCCAGGTTAAGATTAAGACGTTGCAGTCTACGGATCAAGAAATCCAAAAGATTCTAGAGATGGATGATACCAAGAGAAAGCCGGACTTCTAGATATCCGAAGATGGGATACTAAAGTTCCGTGGACGATTATGTGTGCCTGACGATGCGGAGCTTAAGGAAGAAATTTTGTCAGAGGCACATCGTAGTAGTTATAGTATCCACCTAAGTAGTACCAAAATGTATCAGAATTTGAGGCAATACTATTGGTAGAATGATATGAAGGTAGACATAGCTAGGCATGTGGCCAAATGTCTGACGTGCCAATAGGTAAAGGCGCAACATTGTAAGCCCGGAGGGCTATTGCGACCTTTGGAAATCCCAGAGTGGAAATGGGAGCATATAACTATGGATTTTGTGACGGGATTACCAAGGAGCCAAAAAGGCCATGATACTATTTGGGTAAATGTCGACAGATTGACAAAGTCGGTACACTTTTTGGCTGTGCGAAAGGACTTCGTATTAGATCGATATGCTGAGTTATATGTGCAACAGATAGTTCATTTACATGGGGTACCAGTGACGATTACCTCAGATCATGATCCTAGGTTTACCGCCAATTTTTTGAAAAGTCTATATATGGCATTAGGATCAAAGCTGCAGTTTAGTATAGCTTACCATCCACAAACGGATGGCCAGTCTGAAAGGACGATTCAGACTTTAGAGGATATGCTTAGGGCATATGTATTGGATTTTCAGGGTAAGTGGGAAGAGCAATTGCCCTTAGAAAAATTTGCCTATAACAATAGTTTTCAGCAGAGCATCGGAATGGCGCCCTTTGAAGAGCTATATGGCAGGGCTTGTAGGACGCTCGTGTGTTGGGACGAAGTAAGAGAAAGGAGTATAACCGGGCCAGAGTTAGTTCAACAGTCAATTGAGGCTGTTAAGGTGATTAATGAAAAGGCTGAAAACAACTCAAAACCGTCAAAAAGAGTTATGCAAACAGAAGGCGAAGACCTTTGGAGTTTCAAGTAGGGGATCACGTATTCCTTAAGGTATCGCCTATGAGAGGACTATCCAGATTCGGTAAGAAAGGGAAGTTGAGTCCGAGGTACGTGGGACCTTTTGAGGTTTTAAAAAGGATTGGAGATTTAGCGTATCGCCTTGCACTTCCGTCAAATTTA